TTTTACACTAAAATCTCGTGTTGCTGGATGTTCTTTGTCACATCTGCGCTCAAGGGAATGCTGTTTCACAGCAGATCAAATAACTCTTCTCGGATTCTTGGAGAAAAATGGTCTTGGTGTCGTGATGCAGAAGTAATCATTTGATGCGTGCAATCGTGTGTGATACACGGCATTAAATGAGAGAAATTCCTAAATTAGAACGGAAAAGAACGCTTTATTCCCCGTGGCTTTGTTACGCTAGGATGGCTGTGTTGTAGCCTATATGGAGTCTTCAGTGTGTGTGTGTGTTTACATGCGTGGGTGCCATATGCATGAAATCAATGAGTGCTCATTTTCCACAGCTGTTTAGTACGACGGCACACAAACCCTCTCAATGAGTGACAGAGATCTTTCACATGATGAGACCTCACTTCTTCTTCAGGGGGGTTTCTTTCCCATGGTCCATCGGTCTCCATTACACCCCTCGGCTCGCCAAACGTTCCTCTAATTCTCACTTTTTCATTTACTGGCACTTCTGAAGTCTTTCAGCTTGGGCTCCCCAGGCCCTCGAGGATGATGGTAGTTTATGAACCATCATCTAAAGCACAGGAACTCGCTGGAACGTTTCCCCGGGGATCTCGTTCCTTTCCCTTCTAACACGGTTTCCTCACCCCCTACGCCTTCGCGAGGAAGAACCACACTGCTCGCGTGTCCTCCTTTTTCGTGTTTTCCTTTGAGCCGTGGCTTATTGTCAGCAGTTTTTCAACGCTCCTGTCACTGGCAGCCACCTGGTAACAATAAGATACCATCAACTGCAGAGGAGAGGAGGCAGCTAAACTGGGGCGTTGTAATGAACGCACACACAGACTCGCAGCTATGAAAGCACTATGCCACGCATTCATCTTCTCCGGTTATTGGGGCTGCGTGCGAGGCAAATATTCTCCCAGTCATTGTTATTCTATGTATACGGTAAAATTAGAAATAAACAGATTGGAGCTGGATCCCTGCTGAAATTACACTCGTAGGGAAATGAGCTGACAGCAATGTATTGTGGGTCATGTGGGAACCCATTTACGAACCCAGGATTAGTAGCTTGTACATGTGATTGTTGATCAGTTAGTACACTGAAAGAAAAATATCTAGAAAAATGGAAAAGGTACTAGTAATTTTCCAGGACATTATCCGTTATCCATTTTCCGTTGTAACCCGAAACACAAAATACAATGCGTAAAATTTAAAATGCAGGTAAAAACCTGTGAATTCTTTTCTTAGAGTGTAGCATACTGACTACTAATACACTGCTTAGCTTAAAACTATAAAAATGTGTAAGTGTTCAATAATGTTGTATATATAAAAAAGTGATTTATATTTGAACATTATATTATGCATTTATATTATTTTACGAACAAATCTAAATTAACATAAAAATATATATTTTTAATGTAGTGACACAATTTTGTCATTTAGCAACAAATCGAACTTCCTTTAGCAACTTCCCCTGAAAATTAGTCGGCAACACTGATTCTTGCCTCAGTTGGAAGACAGAGCTGTTATCAGAACATTTTACTGTAACCAACAGAATAAAAGCTAGAATATTTTGACGTATGGCAATACGATCAAAAATCGAAACAATCGACGTTCATCCATCCGGGAAACCGATCTCTCAGTCGCGTGCGACTCCATGCGCTCTCTCCATTCAAACGCTTGAACTTGGAATACGTCAGAAATTTGAATAGTTAATTGGCGCCATCTAACGGTTATCCCCTGACTAGAATAAATGGCATGTGGACTTAAGTAGCTATTACATTTTGACACTTAACATACATTTTGATTTGTACGCTTGGGAGAAAGACAACAACAACGAAGATGTACGGAGGGCTGGATAAAAAGAACTTAACGTAGAGAAATTCAGTTATAATCAAAAATTAATAATGATATAAAATATAGGCTATGTAATAGCCTACGTTCTGTAGGCTAAATCTATATTTTATATAGGCGTACAAGCAGAATAATGTACGGTCAGGTCAGGTGGCCAATATTGTAGACGTATTTATTTATTTAGCGACAGTGTTGGGAAGGTTACTTTGGAAATGTAATGGGTTACAGATTACAAGTTACCCTATTTAAAATGTAACAAGTAGTGTAACTATTTCAACTACTTTATTAAAGTAATGTAACCGATAACATGTGACTACTTTTTGATTACTTTTCTAAATTTAGGCTAAAGATAGCTATCTATTTTTTTTTTCTAAACTGTCAATCTTTTTCAAACATTTAAATCAGGCAGGGTTAACCTTAACAGTAGTAGGCTACTCAACACTGATTACTGTCAGACTTTCAAAATCTTTCATCCCTTGAATTAAGATTATAAAACATTATTTTGAAAGCACAGCCACCAAAATCTGACTTTAGCACCTATTTTCATTCTGAGGTTAAGTAGCCTACAGATTTAAAAACATAACAGGCCAGTTGAATAGTTACAATACTGTTTTTGAAATTAAATCTTTGCATAGCTACGACAGGTAGGCTAACACTGGCATCTAACAATGCCTTAGGAAAAAAAAAAACAATTAGCCTAATTTAAAAAATAATAAAGAATAGGCCTATACATAACCCCAAATAGGAAATAAAACCAAAAGCATGTGTCCTATTCTGTGTCCTAAACTCCTGAAACATTGGTGTCTCATATTGTAGAGCAGTCATTGCAATTTTGTAACGAAATCAATCAAATCTGTATGTGTGAAAATATTACCCTTTGTAATCGTTAACATTTTCATAGGTAGCCTAGCTGTAATCTAATTACACATTTGTTTTCAGTAACTGTAACAGATTACAGTTACATTTTTGTAATTAAATTACGTAATTCCGTTACATGTAACTAGTTAC